GATGACAAGACAAGTGTTACATGTTAAAAATGAACATACAGCAAAATACCCCAAAATACAAGGACTGAAAAGACAAAAACACTAAACATTTGCACACCATGCTTCTATGTTCCATTCATTTCTATAAGATATTCAATGACAGAATTAATGTAATCTATCACAATGACACTGGTTCTACAATGTTTTCCTGTTAAAATGGGTTATGTTGTTAAACTGTGATACAGTGCTAGACAATGATGACGTAACAGCTCATAAATGCAGATTCAGCTTTGATGTGTGTGTTATGAATACAGTCTCTAACAGCATGTGTCTGATTATTGAGTTTTATACCATGAACTAGAATATATCCATGACTGTATATGAATTATTAGGAGTGTTCGGTTTATTTGTTTACCAGCTACAGAACAGTAGAAGACATTATTTTTGTTTTTTGGTTAAATACAGGCTGTATGATAACAACTGGAATGAGGCATAGCAATGCCAAAACAAGTTGTGTTTGCCTTAAGTTTGTAAGTATTTAACTCTTTACAGTTCCCCTCACTTCACTTTGTTTGGACTATTTAAGTGTAAACAAACACACACAAGCATAACAAGACAGTTGTGTCACTTTGCAACGCTTGTGCAGAACCCCCCACACCCCTATGTCTGTCTCGTGCCCAAGAGCAAAGCGGACCACCTGTTTATTGTGTAAACTGCTGTGACCAAAGCAGGCAGAATGACAGGTGCTGTGTGTGTGTGTTTGTGTGTGTGTGTGTGTGTGTGTGTGTCTGTGTGTGAGTGTGTGTGTGTGTGTGTGTTCTGTGTGTGTGTGTGTGTGAGAGAGCAGAGCAGCTTATGTGGTGCTATTCCAATGTGGATGTGGTTATCTCCTAGGCTCAGCACTTCTAAAGCGGTGTTTTGCTTGCACTCTCCCTATCCCCATTACCCCGTCTGTCATCTGCTGTCAGTACAATATCTGCTGCTACTGTAGCTCGCAGATGTGCTCAGTGTATGTGTGTGTTAGAAAAGAGAGAGAGAGATATCAAAGGAGAAGGGACACAGTCGTTCAGGGTGAAATATGGAGACTCCGTATCTCAGTACAGTTATAGAGGAACACCATCAAACAAAATATGTATCAACAGTTTTGGCCTTCCTCAGTCAGCCTCATCTCATCTGCAGATCGTAAACCCCCCCCCCACCCCCCCCCCCCCCATGACCCTGGCTTGAATAAGCTGAGGAAAATAGATGGATGAATAAAAATGAAAATTATAAAGATAAAAACAAAGGCCTTGATTTTATAGTTACAATCTATTGTTTTTTTTTCCAACAATATCTTTATTTTTTTATTTTTTTACATTTTAATGACTTACAAAACAATCTATTGTTTTAGAGGATTTCTTAACTCTCCCCTTTTACCCAGCAAAATACCAATTCAGTGTTCACTGCAAACATAATTCAACAGCCCATAGTGTTCTGGTTTAAAGGCGATATTCAGGCCTGTATTGACCGTAAATGTCATAACTGTCAAAACAATGTACAGTGTCTCTGTTCGCTTGATGCACAGAGAAAGACACCCATGTCTACACATGTACACATACCACTTCTCCCAAAGGATGCTGGCAAATAGGACACTGGCTCCTCTGGTTTCTCCCTCCTGAACGTGTGCACTTATAGTGGCACACTATAAAAAGAAACTGCTGTTATAGACTGGAACTCGACTGCCCCTTAAACTCGCTTGCTTGTGTGCTTTAAAATGGTAAATGTGGCATCGTGAAACAGTGACACAGCTTTTAGTTTCACCAACAGAGAAACAGCACCGCTGTCTGGGATCTTTCACGTTTATGTGAGACATCAGTGCAGGCTGTGGCTACCACTGAAGAGAAAAGAAAAGTCTGCTAGCTACTGCAAGTAAAGACAGTCTCTGCTCTGACAGTAAATGCGGGGGCTGAAGTGCTTGCACATTTTTTTAGGGGGCAGGCTGAGTACGAGATACCTGTAGTTCACCGAAGGGCATCCACTTTGTTTGAGTGGAGACCGATTTTAAATAACCTGCTACTGCAGAGCAGGTGGAAAGGCTAAGCTCACTTCTGAATGTACAACTATTCAAGCCACACTGCGATCAGTCACCGCTGTATGAGTCACAGGCCAGGGCTGTATTACAAGAACACCATAAACCAGAACCAAATAGAGAAGGACTGCTGAGTAATCTATAAGTGGCTTTTCGTGATGTAAAAACAGTCACTGGAGATGTGCTGAAGTGTTCCCCGTGTCCCACACTGAACAGCATTTACAATTTAACGGATCTCATCTTGTCTTCTTTTCCTCCCTCACTATTAAACATCCCCCACCCCTAACCCCCAAATCACTAAATGCAGCACTGCCTTACGCTAAAACTCCCACGGCTTTTCTTGTTACTTGGAGGATTCCCAGCAGGGGTGGAAAACAATAGAGTAACAGAGAAAAGGATAAAAACAAAGGGACCAATGAGATTACAATGCTTTTTCTTTCAGCTGCTTTAATAAACAAACAACAAAAGGGTTCAGTGATTTCCACAGGGGAGTAGGGAAGTCCAAATTATGACTTGTAGTCCCGATGATGGACATGAGGGGGCATTTGAACTTTATAAAATTAGGACCTTGAATAAAAGAGAAAAAAACACCGGCAGTCAAGTTAACCGTAACTGCATATAACACATTACTTGTGAGTCCCAAAATTTTACTTCTATGACCTACAGGCGTTAGTAAGATATAACTTGTGCTTTACTTGAACTAATATCTTAAACAGCTAGCTCATAACGAAAATAATTACCTGCATTTCTCTTAACTTTAAAGGTTGACTTTGCTCATTCGCCTGAAATTGTTTTACAGAAGTATTTTCTAGGTATGAGCCAAAACCCTGAGCTCAAAAGAAAGCCTTGACGTGCAGGCTATGAACCTTCATGTCTCATTACATAACGGCAAAAAGATAACATTGGACATAGCTACAATCTGCTGCCCAGCTGGTCCAGGTGAGTTAAAACCTCCTCTGTGCTCTCTCTTCATTTTCTTCACACCTCCCACTTCCAACATAACCAAGGGAACTACCCCAACAGAGTGAGACAGCTGACTCACACAATGCCTCCCATGTAATTAAAAGAGTAATAACCAGAAACATTTGGTGGATGCTTTAATCCAAAGGCCTAACAGCGCCATGAGCACCAACATTTTTAGTACTGTATTCCTGCAAAAAATGTCGACAGAACCTCTGACCCTGACACTGTTAGTGTCAAAGATAAACCCATTGAAGTCCACAAGACATTAATAATTCAAAGCTACACTATTTATTTTTCTTTTGAAGTGTTGGTGTTCTATAGTTTCATCCTAACTGATCCTCTTGGACCAAATGACAAACCTGCTGAAGGCATTCAAAGTGTGGCTCGCAATTCATTTGTAAGTTTCTTAAGATAGAAAAAAACATTTTTTTGAGACAGCAACAGCTGTGTTACTCTGTAATTCTTGTGGTTATTGTGAGCTGGCTTCACAAGCTTGAAATGGATCCTGTCCATCAATAATTTGCTTTTGGTTGTTCTGTATGCCTCTGTCTACGCTCTTTTATACTTGTACTTGCACTTTTGTGTTCACATCGAAACAGATTCAGTGTCACTTAGGTAAACATTTCAGCAATGATAGCAATTACACAAACTAGCAGAAACACATTTCACTGCAGTGTTTTTGTTAAAGCTGTTTGCAAAGGAAAACCAAGTGAAACACTTTGATAGCTCACACAAGCGTCTGGAAACAGTCTGCTCAAAAGTCAGTATTACTTTTCACTGACACATAATATATGTGTCAGTGAAAATAATATACGATATCTAAATGAATTTTTCGAAGGCATTATTACGTTTCACACAGGCAAAGATATAACGAGAAGAATTAACAATAGGTTCCCTGCACTGAGCATTAATTGGGAGTTCAGGAAACATATTTCATCTAATTTATGATTGTAGGGGTTGGAGTTTATCCCAGCTGACATAAAGTAAAAGGAAAGGGGTTGAGAAACATTTTGCCCAGATCTCTTGTAGGTCCTAATATAAGTTGGTAAGTTTTAGGTTGCAGTGATAGAAGCAGTGTGGATTCAAATAAAAAACAGTGATCAATACAGACATCTAGACCAGTTTCATTGAGTGTTTTCTCACATATTGTGGTTATAAAGACCTATTTTGCCTTCTCAGCTGGTGCAGATGGTTCTGGGGGGTCTTCTCCTACAGGTTTTAAACTGTGAAGTGGCTATCGCAACACTCTGTCTGTTTGCGTCACTAAGGAAGATGTATAGCTTTTGGGCAGCTGTCCCCTGCAAACTCTGGCTAGCTTGTTGCTCTGCCTTCTCACCCCACTCTGACAGGCTCTACTTTCCTTAGATATAAATAGATAACGATGCTAACAGATGCACCAGCCCCTGTCTATCTATCTGTGCTCACACACACATATGCACACATACTCTGTTACCACCTATTCTTAAATCTAGAAGATTATGAAGATAATTTAAAAGAGATTATGCAAGACAATATGCGGTGCATTGTGGAAAGATCTAAATATGACTGAGTAATGTATTTCTGAGCTCTTACGAAACTGAAATAATCAATTATTAGGTTTAAAGAGATCAACTAATAAGCAGGTCATGGCACAATGAGGGCGGCGTAAAAATAGTCAACTATATACAGAAGCGGGACTTGGCTCTGCGAACTGCAACTACAAAATCTGAGTTTTAAAAAATTCGATGCCAGGAGAGCAAAAGAGATACAAGTGAAGAAACCATTCGTCCAGGAAACACTGAAAGCGCCATGAAACTGATGATGGAATATGAGGACTGGTTGAAAGTTAAATCAAATGATTTTCCTACATAAAAAAAATAGTTTTGTTTCTCTTCTCACTTCTTTTCTTTAATAACTCGTGACTTCACTCTCCATCCACAAATCTCTAGAACTCATCTACAAACAGATGGGCAGGTTAGTCCTTCACAATAGGAAAGTAAGTAGGACTTACCGTTCGCAGGAACTGAATCTCCTCCTCTCCCTCTCCCCCTTCTGCCATCTTTCACCGAGGGTTATTCGCAGCTCCTCAGGAGAAAACAGAAAACCCTTCAGTTTTCTCCCGTCAGGATTTGGCTTTGCTATGTCCCTCCCTCTTTTAGTTTCCTCGTTCCTGTACCCCTCTTTCTCTTTCGCACTCTGCCTCAGTGTCTCTCACTCTCCGTGCTAGTGTGTGTGGGTGTACTGGAGGACAGCATGCGTCCTGTGCTCTCACGGTGTTGTGAGAGAGTGACAAGGAGGCAAGGCTCTCCCCGGCTTCTCTCTCCTCTTTGGATCGTATCCCCAACAGCAGATGAGAGTAGGAGGGATGGAGGGTGGATGAGGGAGGGGCAGGCACCTTGTTACACATTTACACCGTTCACATCCAGCCGTGGCGCCATGTTTGTAGAAGTGAGCCACTCCTTCACACAGGCTGCCCCCCTCCATCACCCTCCCCTTCTTCCACATGTCTGAGGCTATAAAAGGAAAGAGGGGTGAGGACTAGCCTTTGGGGAGCGTGCAATAAGAGCACACAAAAGCACACCTCAGCTCTTCAAAGTGAGTAAGTTACTGTAGCTGTACTGGAGCACTGTAACAAAAACATAATTTCCCCCAGGGATCAATAAAGTATTCTGATTCTGATAGCTGCTCTTCACAAGAAAACCATTTGGGATAAATAGTGTATCAGTATATTAACATCATACTAGATCTTCTGGGCCCAACATGAGCTATTTGGAAATTCAGATATCTGCATCACTTGACGAGCAGGTCGCATTAGTTCTTTGTTTTATGTTTGAAGTATTGCAAGTCACACTTACAAGAAATTTACTATATTAATTACCATAAATGGCTCATTATTCGCTTTAGTGCTGATTGATCTTTTAATCAAAATGAACTTATATACAACAATAGCTAAGTTAGACACCAAACATCTTTAGTCATAAAGCTCATCTGTGTGTTTTGATCAGAATTTGCAATTTGGAAGCTACTTTCGGCTGTTCCTTTATTGGTAAATGGCCTGTATTTGTATAGCTTTACTAGTCCCTAAGGACCCCAAAGCGCTTTACACATCCAGTCATCCACCCATTCACACACTGGTGATGGCAGCTACATTGTAGCCACAGCCACCCTGGGGCGCACTGACAGAGGCGAGGCTGCCGGACACTGGCGCCACCGGGCCCTCTGACCACCACCAGTCGGTGGTTGCCCAAGGACACAACGACCGAGACTGTCTAAGCCAGGGCTCGAACCTGCAACCTCCCGATTACAAGGCGACCTCCCAACCCTTGAGCCACGATCGCCCCATTAGGGCGATCCCCCCAAGAGCCACAATTGTAGCACTGCACGTTTGATCTGGCAGATTTTTATGCCAGATGATCTTCCTGACACAACCCTAAAGGACTTTGCAGCTCTACTCAAAATATTTAACTTGTTAGACAAATAACTAAACCACTACGGTTCATAACTTTCCCAACACAGTCCAACTTTGACTATACAAAAAAAAAAACTCTAATAAGACGCAATGTTTTCATTTCATTTTTTTAAAACGTGGCCTTGAAATGAAATGGCAGAAAACATAATAAATACTTCATAGCCCACATTTATGCTGAGAAGTTGTGTCATCACATCGCTTGTGTTCTTTAAACAATAGTTGAAGAGAGAAAACTGATCTGTTACAAAGAACTGGTTTAGATTCTTGCCTGACATGCAGGTGTTGTTGAGTGACTCGTTGTTGATCCAGGATTATTTTCACCACTATACTACAGGAATTGTAAATTATATAACTCTCATCCTTGTAAGTAAGTAATCAAGTAATCTGTTGGATCAAAGTACAGCTCAACTTACAGCTTGGCACTTTCAGTGTGGTGGACACCACTGAAGCTGTCTTACAGCCCAATCGATAACTGAACGAGACACTCTGCACAGATATTTTGTCTGGCTTTTAATTAGCTCTTTGATCTTTTACACTCTTCCATAAAATTACAGTTTTATGCTCCAGTGGTAAAGTAGCAACCTTCCTACTTCCCCTAAGAATAGTGATTCATTACCAGCCTATTATTTTGAGTTTCCCTGTCACTTATCTGAAGCAATACCTCTATCAACAGCCTCTAGATGGTTTTAGTGCTGCCTGGGTTTAACATTTAAGAGATGAACTCAGCAGTGACTGGGGAAGAATCCAACAGGTAAAATCATAATGAAATTGACTCAGTGATGAACAACACATTCATTTCCACCGTAAATTAATCTATTATTCATTTACTCTGTAAAACAATTGGCAACGTTGGTCGTGAAATATAAGGATTTGTTGCTTTTTATGTTTAATATCACTTCATTATCATTGGGTCCTGAACTGTTGACTGATCAGACTGGTTGAATTTAACAATCAGTGTGAACAGTACTATAGGTGTAAGGACAATTGATATTTTTTATTTGTTTTAATTTTTATATCTTATTTCAGGGATCTTATAATTCATTGAAAAGCAAAGAAATAGCAGTTTAGCTTGGAAAAAAATGCATTGCATCTAGACACAATGTTGACAGCTGGCTCTACTGTGAATCAACTATGTAGGCCTCCCAAAAATATTTTTTGCATGACACAAGCTTTCCCCTTGAAAAGCCATCTTTTCAGAAAATCAACAGTTGCTTTTGATTGAAACAGTGGATCTGCAGGAGCGTCCGTGTCACACCCCTCCTGACAGGCAGAAGGGATGCACCAGACAATAAATCTGGAAGTCTGAGTGCTGGGGGGGAGAAAAGCACATCACACTCTCACAGCAACGGTGACCAGCCTTCAGACACTGTGCTCATGCACACATCCCTACCTCCCCTGTCTCCATCTGGCATCCTTGAGCATGCTTTCTTTCTCATCCATCTCCCACTGCAACCGCAGCTGGCAGCGGAAAAGCTGTTTCAGGACGCTGCTCGCCGGGACACAACTCCTTTCAGCGGATAACGGAGAGCAGGAGGAAAAGAGGCGGTGAAGAAGGCGATACGCCACTGAGGCGGAACTAACATGAATTCTGGGAATATGAGTCTCGATTCAGAAGTAACCTGCTGACTCCCGTTTTCTGCCAACTCACGAATCGTGCTGGCTTTATGTGCAGTTGCTGCAGTACGCCTGAAGGAGGCAATATAATACAGAGAACTGATGGGAAAAGGCTTTACAGGTGTCTCTCAAGCTAAATAATTAATTAACGATATATATTAGAGGTCATGACAGGATTACAGTCAAAATAAGATAGGTGTTGTTTAAAGGAATTGATTAATTAACTCAGATGGAGTTATTTTACTGTTTTATTGAAACCTGGTTCAAGCAAAGGGAGGAATCCCCTGCAAACATGTGATGTAATGAAACTTTCAGCTCTTCCACGTAACAGGACGGCTGCTCCGTAGACTGTAAGCATCACGTTTGGTGGTTTTGCTGCGAATTTTCAAAATATGTACTTTGCATACATAATAGATACAAAAAAAAACATATAGAAATATACGCAGTGGTTACGACAAAAGTCTTATGGGGGCTTTAAAACTCGCACTGGTTGTGCTGCAGGTAACGTGGGCGTGCCAGCGTGTTGAGTTATAGTAAAATGGCACTAGCTGTTCTTTTGTCCAATGTTCTTCACCAGCTGAGTGGCGCTTCCTGTTTTAAAGAAGCATTGCTTAAGATTACAGTAAGTTTACCACATTGTCCGGAAATGGCGTGTTGTGTCTTTCTGCAACATGTGCATGTACGCCCCTGGAGATCTTCAATAATCTAACTTCTCAGCGAAATCCAAGTGCATGTTAGGTGTTTTTGACTTGGCATGCAAGGTCTGCGGGAGCCCTGTGCATCTCTCTTTGCTTTTGAATGCCGTGTCGCCCACTCACTGTCTCTGCCAGCCACTCAGCTTCCTGCAGCAAAGAAGCCACCTCTGCAGACTTGGGGACATTAATGTCCCCTGTTTGGTTGCCTCTTCCTCTTGGGGTGTTAAAACAAGGATTCCTTTGAGCCTCCCTGTCCAGCTGCACAGCGACATTCACAAGCACAAACACTACCTCCCTGTGTAATCACTTGCTACCCTGAGAAATGACAGCGGCAGTTTAAAAAAAAGAAGAAAAGGAGAAATCAGGAAGATAGACGTGATGTGGGGCACCCTGGAGATCCAGTGGGGAGACACGTGTCCGGTTTCAACAGTGTCACCAGGCCCTTGATGATTCCTCCTTAGTAACTTAATTCTTTTGCCAGGATTTGACAGTGACACAGAAAACTGTATCAGAAAGAGGCTTTAAGGTGTGGCCTATTTTTTTTTCCTGTGTTGACACTTAAAAAGAACCCGAGAGTTCCCCTCTTGAAGTACACTGATGCTCATATGATTGCTCATCACTATCTCTCTCTAACTCTCCTCCTCCTTCCTCTATTGGTACTCCATTTGTGTTCACAATTCTAACTCTCTCTCTCTCACTCGCTCTCCCCTCCCCCTTGCACACGGCCACACACACACACAAACACACACAAACACACACACAGAAACTGATGTGAGTTCCCCTATCTATCAGAGCCAGTTCCTCCATTTAAGATGCTGACTTGTTTATGTTGAGGGGACGAGTGAATGACTGTTGCGAGGTTTTGCACTCTACTTCGAGGCTTCTTTGGGGCATTTTGTCTTGGCATGTCTGCTTTGTTGCAGGAAACGGAGGCATGAGGTCTGCTTTGTTACTGATTTGTGGTTGACAGATAAAGCGAGAAGGAGGTTAACTCACTCATAGAGTCGTTTGATAAGCAGGACTTAGGCGCGGAGTTTAGTCGATGAGTGTAGGTGAGCAGCCTTCGACCTCGAGCAGCCCTCCCTGCTGTGCCTGCTCTTGCTGTCCAGTGCACAGTAACACATAGAGGACACAGAGGAGATAAAGGAGGAGCAAGGCCAACCATGGAGCTGTAGAGACGTGCTCAAATGCCTGTACGGATCACCAGTGGAGGAGGAGTGTTGCTGAGGAGAAGAACTCTGCAATGAACAAGAACAAAAGGTAATTAAATAAGAAAAAAGAGACAGGGCGTTAAACCTGAGAGTTCGCTGCTCGCAGAACCATTTGCACCTCAGTTTCTTAACAAGTGTAAGTCTAAGTATGTGTCAGCAGCAAGTGTTTTGAGTGCAACAGTGATGTGTGAACATTGAGGTTGTAACTGAGATGTGGTGTGGTTTGTGCAAAGGTTCTTGACAAAGTCAAAGAGAAACAAGGACATTTATTTCTGCATCTAGTCTATGCCTCTTCTGCCATTTATTGTCATATTCAACACTGTGCACATGGAGGCTTTGGGTTAAAATAAAGGCTGCAGTTAATGTTTTGACCTGCATATCAGTGAAGACTATCAACTTCTCAAATTATTTGTGTGTACTGCACACAAGTGAGAGCCAACATTCAACAGTTGTGCGTGCCTGTGGAGAGCTGCCTGCTTGCCTTTCCATGGAAATGCGTTCTGCTT